TCAGAAGGATCATCACTCCAACATCGATACATCAACTTTAGATACCATTCTGGAATCCAATTTAATATAAAATCAGGGATTTTTGGTCTTACACCATTACATATATCGATCATCAAATAAGTATCATGTGCTTGGTCTGCAAATGGTCGTTGTGAAGTAACTATTTCATACATAATTCCACCAAAACTATAAATATCACCCTCCCTTGTAAATTCATTTCCTCTTAATACCTCAGGTGGAATATATGGAATTGATCCATAAGATTCGTTATTTTTATGGTCAGAGTTTAAAATTAAATCATTTTCTAATTTGCATGAATCGAAATCTATAGAAAATCCAACGGCGCCGGAAATATAGTATACCAAAATATTTCTGCTATGAAAGTTACAATGAACTAAATTTCTTGCATGTAAGTTTTCAAGACCACTTGCCATTGACAATAGTGAGTCTATTTTCAATTCCCAATCTAAATCCAAATAATTCCTGTTTAAAAAACCATGTAAGTCATCACTAAATAAATTCATAACAAAAATGTAGTTTTGTGTAGAAGGATTTTTTGAAATTCCATAATGAGAAGCAATATATTCACTATTAGTAGCTATTTGCTTAATATGAAAATATTAAAAGACAAATTAATAAATTAAAAAATATTAATAACAATTGATAATAACTTATATTCTAAATGTAAAGAATCATACCACTTTAAGAAATTCAGCTATATCATATCTAGAATCTTTTATTTCTTTTAAAGCAACTTTTTGGCCAATTAATGCATAATTCCAATCCTTTTTGAGAAAATTCCAATCCATTTTTATTCCATTTTCTAATTTTGCAGAATACACAGATCCATGGCTGCCATCTACTTCGTGATTGATATTTTGAAAATTATCATAAGGTATCCATTGTAACTTATCGTCAATGTTATTTATTTGAGATTTTTGTATAATCTTATCAATGTTAATATTCCCACTAGACCAAGTTTTAAATTCTTGGATAAAACGTTCTTCGGTACACAAATCACATATTCCACTTGGAAAAATGCAATTTTGTCTGTTAGAATAAGCGATATCCTCCTCAGAGTGACCTGCCGGGCAATACAGTTTTCTTAATTTACGAAACATGGGAAACAAAAGGATTGAATATTTTCTTTTTTTCGAATCTATAAATTTAGATCTGAATTTTGTCAGATTTAGGATGTAGATTGAAATTTTGATCCAATCAGATTGAAATTTTGGGGCGATTAATGTTTTTTTTTGTGTACAACTAATAGAAAATTTTTTATTTATTTTCGTAAACTTTTATGATTTTGGCAGAAAATTTAATAATTTCAGTCGAAATTAATATTAATTTTCATAATTGTATTTCGTCACTATGGTTTTTTTTATTAATAAAAAAAGCACCAATTTATCGTATATATGCTGTAATGAGGTCCTGAGATAAGTTTACAAGCTGAAAGTTGTATTTTTTTTTTAAAGGACAAAAACGAGGTGATATGTATTTTAATAAAAAGATTTTAGGTATAAAGGATGTCGAATTAGGAACAAAATATTTGAAATTATCAGCTCAGAATAATGATCCTCGATCCATTAAAACCTTAAAGAAAATAAAATCGAACTTTACTCTAGAATTATTTATTTCATATTTTATATTTATTATTTATTTATTTACATTTTATTTAAATAAATTGCCTTAGATCACATTTATATCAATTATTAAAATGAGATTCATAAAAAATACAAAGTATGGTATACTCTTTATAAAACAAATTCCTTTAAATCGCAACGAAAAAAAAAGTCGCAAAATATTATTTTACCCAATTTTTTTTTTATACAATATTTCATAAAGAAAATGTCGAACTATAAGCGTTCGTTCTTAAAAATATATAAATACAATGTTTAATTCAATATCTTAAACTATATTAAATATAGTAATTAGTGATGAAATGATAATTCTTTCGAGAACAAATACGCACATAAAATACTTTATGAACAAATATACCAAATAAAATATTCTAGATATTCATATGTACATCACGGTCAACCACCACCTTTATCATCTTGTTCTTCTTCAGGATTTACTACATACAAAGTAGCTATAGTAACTAAAGACCTATTAATTGTTTGGATATCAGCTCCCATCATTCTATCCTCCCATGTCATTTCTTGTGTTTCATCCGTAATTGTAAATAGAAGCATTAGTGGCAAACTATTCAACTTTATTCAATATTTATTACTTAATTTAAATATTATTTAGAATATTCAGAGAAATATTACAATATGCTGAAGATTTAAATTTATAAGGTAATAAAAATTAATTTATCATATTTAGTAATATGTAAATTAATTAATTAAATCAATTAAATTAAATTAAATTTTTAATTTAGACAACTTCTAAACTCCAAGATTCAAAGAATTTCATAAAAAGATTAAAAATATTTGTATTATTTTTATATTGAAACAGAATCATATATTAATGAAGATAAGATCATTAGGAAGTCATGCTTGTGTATGTTAAATTATATTAATTATATTTTATTATATTTTATTGATTATATTTATTAATTTATACTGTATTTATTAATTATTATATTATTATTTAGATTTGAAAAAAGAAAATATTGACGGCACATATACTTATAATTTAGTTGGTTTTTGTACAATGTACCTTTTTTATTATTTACCTCGTACAAAGAATCGTGAAAATAATGAAAATAATCATGGAAATCATTATATAAATGATGATTTGAATGAGAATTTCGGTAAAGAATAAAAGGCATTTATTGCAAATTATTAATAATATAAGGTTACAAGTTAGGTAATTATTTATTTATTCAATTCATCTCCCAGTGATAGATATTTAAGAGAAATAAAAGCATTAGAAGATTTTATAGCTCCAGTTGATAAAAACAAGATGGATTATGGAAAAATTATAAATTTAATAATCAAAAAAAAATAAATAAAACATTATTGATTATTTATTTTATTCCATATTTTTATTTATTTTATTTATTTACATTTACTTATTATTTTTTTTATTAATTAATTTATTTATTATAGTGACAAATGCATCGATGTATAAAATAGAATCATTGCAAATTTAAATAAGACAGTCCTGTTGCTTATAAAGCTTATCGATTACAAAAAGCAAAGAGTATATATGTAATTTTAATAAGGTATTATTTATATCTAACTATGTTATATGAATTTATTTATTATTTTATCAATCATTTATTGACATGCCATTATAATTCCTTTTTATATACACAGCACATGTAATTTATAATAATTTGAAGCTACTCGGTGGTACCAGAAATGAAAAGGCAAAGAATATTTCTAATTTATCCCTTCTCAGAATATACTGATCAGTTTTATCCTTTTTATTAAAGGCAACAAAGAAGATTATTTAGTATTATTTTTCGTCGAAAATTAATTATTTTAGGGAAATTTTATTTTATTTCTTTTCTAGAATTTCTAGAATGATGAGAATGAATATTCATATATATATATATTTCTTTTTTTTTTAATTTAACGGGGTTATGCTCAACAGAGCGTTGTCAAAGGACATCTTGGGACAATGTTGGGACAAAAATTTTTATTAAAACCTATTTATAAAGTTTCGATATCTATTTATAGGCTAGTTAAGGATAGGGACAGTGGGACATGGGAAATAGGGACAGCTTAAAAAAGCTGGGGACATGCAAAATGTACATACTGGCTCAACATATTACTAAAAAAATTATTCAAACAATAATTTTTAATGCCATTATTAAAAAATATTGTATATATTATTAAAGATAAACTTTTAATTATCTTCCGATGATGATTTAATCGTCACTCTATGAAATATATACATACATTTTTTATTTTTCAATGCATACTATTCGTACATGGTTAAAAAAAATGTATTACTGGGCCAAGCACAGATGATCAATGCAAAAAAAAATAATACATGTAGAAATGAAAATACATGTCGGAAAATTCTTTCATCTATCACTTGCTTCTTGACGTTTTGGCGAATGGCCACCATCTTTATCATTATCATCACCATCACCAAATGTCTTGGCCTGAGTTTGTAATATTTGCGCAATATAATTTAAAACCATTTTTTCGGGTTCCATAGTATCAATAAAATTGCAAGTAAATTCTTCAGTAATTTGAACCTGCCGACTTTCCGATGATCCTTCCCAACGGAAAAAACGCCACAACTTTCCAGTCGTAACGATTCCAAATACTATTGGTTCCATTTGCTCACGCTTGCGTTTACCCAATTGTTGTTCTTTTTTACGCCTCACTTGTTGTTCTATTGCGCTGTGCATTTGTGCTATCAACTTCGCAGATCCCTTATTCATATTTTCTGACTTTGCTTCACATATCAACACCAAAATATCAACAATTTTCACCGTGTAATCTGTGGGACCATGCCCAAAACTTCCATCTGGACCTATTTCATTGGTTAATCTTAATTTCTTATCTACGTGTTGTATTATATGTTTATTGGCAGTTGTTATGAAGGCATTGATATATGTACGACACGTCATTTCATTAGTACTTATTGCATTATTGTAATTAATAAGTGCTTTTTTAAGTTCCCAAACAAAATTTGTTAATTCGACCTCAGGAAATGGGTGATCTAGTGGGGGAAGATTATTCAAGCAAAAATTTGGAATATCTTCTAGAGAATCGTATTCTTTTTGTAATATATCCTTAAATGCGTCTTTTAATTCCCAATCACTATAAGATTTTTTATCCTCAATTTTGACTTTTAGTTTAAGATTATAATTACCGTTCAATTCAGTTTGAGATATTAAGTCATTAAAGTGGTAATTGTTCCAGATCTCATCTTTTGTTCCATCATTAAAAAAATAAAAATTTTCTGTTTGTAATTTCTTGAATTTTTCTACGACGGCTTCTCGCAACAAATTTAAGGAACCCGTGTTGTGTGGTATTTTAGTTTTACCCGGCTTATGTCCTTATGAACTATTTACTACAACTGCATTTGAATGGAAACTAATAAGTATTTAATTTATGGAAAAACAATGCAAGAAAATAAAAACTTCATTTACCGTTTTCTTTTAAGAGCGGGTAACGAACAATTAGTGGGTTCTTAGCCGTTGTATCGTTTACCAGATTTTGTAAACAAGTGCCCGGTAGAATAGAAGTGTTATTTCTATCTAAAAATATAATATTTTGCGGTCTGACATTTTTTAACGGTTCGAACTCGTTCTTGAGAATCAGCCAAGTCTGTGACTTGGGATATGTCAGCCTCCAACTTATCGGAATTCAGATCACCCTCTAGTAGAACCCACATTTTTATTATGGAGTTTGAGGTACTCGGGCGTTCTGTGAACTTTGTAAGCTTGCTTTTATCTTCATAGGACATCTTTTTTTTCAACTGCGGATAATAATATTACTAATTGACACATACGCATTAAGCCTAATTAATTGCAGATCGAATTCAATATATTATTAGTCAGAGGATATGTCCTACTGATCAGCGGGCAAAATTTTTTATATATTGAAAATTTCACGTGATTTATCGATTTTTGACTTCGTGCACCATATTACATTTATAAATAATTTATGTTTCTATTTATTCCAAATATTTATTAGGTTCTCAAAAACACTTTTATAAACTTTTAAAGTCAAATAGTCCTGTTGATTTTTAAAGATCTTGAAATGAAAGTTGTTCATTGTGTCATATATCATTATAATAGTTATATCTTCAAAATTCTTCAAAATGTCAATTTTTTTTTAACTTTTATATTAATTTTTTTTTATTTTTGCAAAATAAAATATATATTTGCACATAGTACTACTAACAGTTGATGTAAGGAGACAAGGAGGCGAGGAGTATAATGATTTTTTTGTATTTTATAATAAAAGCTAAAACAAAAGATGGATTTTAATACATTTAAAAATGTCTATTCATAAAAAAAATGAAATAAATAATATAGAAATTGAAAACTTTTTTGATAATATACCAGAAAATGATGATACTAATTTATTTTGTGAAATCATAATAAATAAAGCAAAAGAATTACTTAACAAAAAAACTAAATTTAAAAATTTTGAAAATATCAAAGATAATGATTTAGAAATTATATCACCTGCATCTACTATTATAACTAAAAGTACTGATAATGATGATAAAATAGAAATATCACAAATTACAAGTTCACATTTAATTTCATGTGTATTAATGAATAAAATAAATGGAAAAATTCAAAGATGTGATAATAATAAAAGTTTATGAGGAATAGCACAATTAATTGGAATTTGGTAACTTGATAATAATGCTGTTAATGAAGTAAGTAAAGGATTAGAAAATTTAGGGGTATGCTAACCACTGGTCAAATTGTAGAAAATTAGCACCTATTATATACTTATCAGATTCTGATAGGTATGCAATAGGTACCTGATTTTCAATAAATTTTAATATATCAGGTTCCCAATAGATAGAGTGAGCATGCCGAAGTTTGGACATATATTGGACATATATTAGCAGATATCAGACATATGTATATCAGACTTTGATTTTTTGACATTTTTTTCAAATATATCATATACTTATCGGGTACCCAATTTCATTTATTTTTTATCAAGCACATATCTTCAATATATTGATATAATATATTAAATATATATTGGTCACTGTATATTCTTCAATATTGGATATCTTTTTCTTACTATCGGATACCTATCAGTGACTTTTATTTATATATTTTCATTTTTCTTATTACCGATAATCACATTTTTGTTTATTAATAAAAAATATAAAATGAAAAACGTTATACATATTATATATTGTTAATTATACTATTTATACTATATAAAATATTTTTAATATTCACATTTAAATCTATCTAATTATTTTTTTTATTTTTTTTTAGATTTTTTCTTTCTTCTTTTTTTTTTCTTTTCCTCTTGCTTTTCTTTTTTTTTTCTACTATTAGTTCCTGCTTCATCATTATCATTATTATCGTCATTATTATTGTTATTATTATCATCATCATTATCGGCATCATTATTATTATCATCATTTTGATCTGAAGTATTGGAATCATAAATTGAAATAGTCTTCTTATCCAACTTTATTATTTTCAATGCTTCTTTATTTAGAGTTCAAATAGGTACACCTTTTGAAACTTTTATTTCATTTTTGTTCAACATATATTGTGGAGATCTAATTCAAAGCTTGGAATTTTTTGGCAGTTTATACAAAAGATCAATCGTTGGATCAATTCTTTTGTACAATAGCTTCTTTAACTATAAAATATCATTTGATATCATCCATTAATATTATATCCAATAGGTATAAAAATATATTATAATTATTGATCTTACCAAATCAGATCTCCATCATTTGTCCTTAATATAAATAGAAATTGTAGATATTCAAATACTTCTGCTTCTACTTGCTGTAGTAGCAGCTGTAGTACTACTTCTACTTGCTATAGTACTACTTCTACTTCTAATATTACAACTACTGTTATTATTATTATTATCATTATTATTGTTATTATAATCATTATTATTACTATCATTATTATTATCATCAGCATTATCATTGTTATTATAATTATTATTATTATTATTATTATCATCATCATTCTCATCATCATTATTATTATTATAATTATTATCATCATCATTGTTATCATTATAATCATTATTATGATTATTATTATTGTAATTATTATTACAATTATTAACATCTATAATGTCTTGTTTTATAAATTTAATAAATTAATTTAATTATAAACAAAGTATAATAAATATAATTTGTAAATATAGTATTTTCATATTCATATTCGTTATCTGTCATCTCCCACTCCTCTGAGTGGTAACTACTATTACCTAATATTTTTAATATATCCTTTTTAGGATACATATTTAATTTTTCATCACCTTCTTTTAATAGGTATATTACTACTTTCTTCCTCTTTTCCTTCTTCTATTTAAAATAAATTACATTAATAATATGTCCGATAACTGTATTATTACATTTATTATAAAAAAAAATCTTATCTTTGTCATAAAAAAAGAAAAAAAAAAAACTCTTTCCCGAATTACTCATTACTATAAAATATGCAGTAATATTTTATCAAAATTGTTTTATTTTTTATTTTATTTAAAACTCGTGTTTAAACATGAGCGGCAGCTCATTTACAAGGTCTAGGAGAACAAGTGTAGATTATGGTACCACTCCCAAAAGTGTAAATACAGAAACTGAAAAATTTAATTCTCTTGGTAATAAAGACAACTCATTGTTACCTCTGTTTTTATTTCATATTTATTAATTATTTATTTATATATTTTATTATTATATTTATTCATATCTGTATTATTTTATTATTAATTATTAT